CCGTGTCCTCCGTGGCTGGACGAGGACGCGGGGAAGCGCTCGCGGAACTTGGAGAGTGACGTGGAGTGGGCGGGGGTGCGTTAGCACGCGGCGAGGACCCCGGCTCACGAGGGCCCAGTCCCCGTGGGACGTGGGCTGCGCAGAGGGGACTGCGGCAGACGTTGGACTCCTAGGTGGCCCGGTCGGCTGGGGAAACGGATGTGAGAGAAGTAACCACGTTGAAACGCACAACGGGTCGGCAACCGAGCGTCAGAGTTACACGCGGTGCGTAGACAGCATGTGTAGACTGCGCGTTGAAGGACTCGTGGGCCGATCACGCCGCCTGTCCGAAGGTTAGAGCGACATAGCTGCAAAATAGCCACACTGTGTTTAGCCTGAGTGGTGCAGGGTCTCGTACTGTGTTTCAGGATAAGTGAATGAAAGACGGGTCAGGAAAAGCAGCAGAAATCATTTCTTGGCTTCAAAGTACAATGTGATAATCGGGCTGACTTAGTACTCCTATTGACCACTGTCCCGTTACAACATAATGGGAGGGTCTCTCCCTACTCTCTATAGTGCTTTTACTGCTGTGAACATTTATGAATCCCTCTGTTAGAAATGCCTCTGGAGGCCCAGTGTGGTGGCTCACACCTGGAATCCCACACTTTGGGAGGCTGAGGTGGGAGGATTGCTTGAGCTCAGGATTTTGAGACCAGCCTCGGCAACATAGCAAGACCCTGTCTCTACAAAAAAAAATCAAAAAATTAGCCAGGCATGGTGGTGTACTCCTGTCGTCCCAGCGACTTGGGAGGCTGAGGCATAAGGATCACCTGAACCCAGGAGTTCAAGGCTGCAGCGAGCCATGACCGTGCTACTGCACTCCAGCCTAGGCGACCGAGTGAGGCCTCGACTCAAAAAAAAAAAAAAAAAAAGAACTGTCTCTGGAGTGTCAGGGTGCATATTTTTCCTGGGGGCATCTTTGTCCCCTGATGAGATAGGATTCATTTTGTAGTAACAGAAGCCACTCGGGGTCAAAGAAGGGGGTAGAGTGGCAGGTCACAGTGGTTTTGCTGCTTGGCCTGGAAGGCAGGGAGGCTGATTTCCTCCTGAGGCCTGTAAACCCATTGAGGGGCAGTCCCAGACACGTTTTGCGTAACCACAGCATTGCTGCCATAAGTCACTCACAGCCTTGCAAGGTAACCATTTGAAGGACAGCTCTCATTCATTTGCATACGCCTGGGAATTTTCGTTTTTGAACAGTTAGTCATACAACATTGCAGTCATGCCTCAAGGCCTTATGTTAAAGAAATACTTACTTGATTTGGAAAGAAAATGCTCAGAAGTCTTCAGAAATATGCAAACTTCGGAAGAATCACTTTCATTTGCCAGTAATGCTGGAATCTAAAGGACTAGAAGGAAGACCTGCGTGAGACTGTGTGATTTAGTGTCAGTGAGTATGTTAAATGTCACAAATATGCCGGCATGAAGGTAAAAGGCAGAACCCTTCCTTCAGCAAGGGCTTCCCGGTTCACTTGTGCCCTGGCAGCTTTCCTCCTTTTCAGGAATGAATGGAGCGGAAAAGCAGCCCGGCCTTACTCTGAGATTCCGTGTTGCAGCCTGACGGGCAGCTGCAGTGGTGGCCAGTGAAAGCTGACATTGCCCCCTGGCACAAACGCCTTCCATCCCCAGCCGCTTATCAGGGTCAGGTTGACTTTAAGTATCCTTGGGAGGGGCTGTGAGAAGTCAGCACAGCCTTGCTGGACCGTAGTTCCTCAGCCCGCTGTTTCCGTGGCCTTCGGAGCGAGGCTTGGGAGCCCACATAAATCCCAGTTTCCTTTCCTGGGCCTCAGAGGCGAATACCACACTGTATCTAGGGACAAGCAATGAGAACCCTTCTTAGTCATCTGGCCAAGTCCCCACCCATCATCCACGTGCTGGTGTTGACTCTGTCGTGGCGAAGCAAATAGCTACTTATACAATAAATTAAAGAGGGAAGGAGCAGAGGGAGATCAAGCTCTCAACTCCAGGTGTAGATGGCTGTTATGTGTATGTTTACTTAAGAGAGGTTAGGGAGTGGGAACGGTGGCTTCTTTGGTTTTCTTGCATCTAATAATAAGCATTTAATAAATGCTAATTGTTCTTGTGTGCCAAACAGGATCTGAAGTGCCTTATGTACATGTATTCATTTAATCCTTGCAGTAGACACCATTTTCATTATTTTGCAGTTGAAGAAAGGAGGCTTAGAGAGCAGTTAAGTGCCTTGTCCAAGGTCACGAGTTTAAGTGGCGCAGTTATGATTTGAGCCCTGAAGCCTTCAGTGTAGCCTCCCAAAAGCAGATTTCAAGAACCAAACCCTGCACAGAATTTCACAGCAGAGCTTGTCCCTGAACAGGTGACCTTCGGCTTAACAGCTGAACACGTAAGCCATTATAGCCGCAGAGAAACTCCTGAAGTGAAAACCCGAAATACAAAATTAAACTTGACTGATTACTGGTTAAGAGTCACTTCGTTACCTGTGCATATTTGTGAAATAACTTATACAAGAGACAATGATCTGTCAGCTCTTAGATGTGAACAAATATATCTTAGGATCATATTTGAATACACTAGAAAGCCTTATATGCATAGCATGATGTAACTCACCAGTGGCTTTTCCAGGCCTTATCTCTTTAATCCCTACAATAGCCCTGTGAGTCTGTTCTTGGCCTCATGTTATAGCTCAGAGAGGTTAAGTGGCATACCCAAGACCACATACCTAGCAAAGCTGGGAGTCAGGCTCAGACTTTTTGACTCCAATGTGGCTTTTTTTTTTTTTAAACCAAACCACTTACCTCCCTACTTGTTTGTTGGCTTTTCTTCAAAGACAGGCAGAGATTTTTTATATCGGAAGCTTCGTAAATTCTTGCTTAGAGATTTCATCTTTCTATAAAAGATGGACTTACTAGCCCTCATATTTGGGCAACCCCGTTCATTTTGATATCTGGCAGAGCTTATGCCCAAGTCCTCTCCATAGGGAATGTTTTCACTGAGTCCAATCATTAGATTTAGATGTGTGTTCAGCGTAGCTTACCCAGGGATGAAGAAATTGCAGGCCTTAGAACCAGACCTGCCAAGACTGGTTGGCAGATATGCCACTGACCCCAGCAGAGCCATGCAGTTTCTGAACATTCCCCTTATATGAGATCAGGTGTGAAAAGACACACGGGAACACATAAATCTGAAGCCACCAGGCCCAGTTCATCTTTATTAGTGGCTGTAGCAAGCATAGATCCACAGTCTGTGAAGCAGCTCTTCTGAGAGATTTTAGACCCCTTGGATGATGTGAAAGGTCAGGAAGCACACCCTGTGGGAAAGTCCTGGTTGGTTTGTTATTCTGAGAAGTAGAGAAGAATGTATCAAATTGTGATAACTGATGCGCTGTGGCACACTTCTGATTGAACTTCCGGTAATTCACCTTTAAGCTTCCCTTTTTAGTTGGTAGCAGGCAGGAGAAAGTAACTCCAGAGGAATGTAGATTGCTTGTGGCTAACCAAGACCTGCTAATCTGGTTAGTTTCTTTTCTCCTGTGCTCTTGAGAACACACTACCCTTGGGTTCCCAGTGGCCAAAAGATGGGCCAGGCTCTGGCGTCCAAGCTGAATCTAGTGATTGGGATGAAGCAGGAGCTTAAGTTCTATTTGGGCATCAGATGCCTCCTGTTGGCTCTCCAGTGGCCTGCTTGTTACAGTTGTGCAACAAAAGGTTCATTCATTCCTTCAGCAAACAAATCTTAAGTGCCTATTGTGTGCCAGGCACTAGACATTGATTTTTTCCCAGACATTGATTTCATATTAACCGTTAGTTCCCATGCTACTTTAACCTTGAAATGAGTCAGTGGATGAGATTTCCTGGGGAGACTCACTCTTCAGAAAAGGTCTAATTGGGAGAAGTGTTTCAAATAAGATTAATTTCCCAAATTTTAATAAGATGCTGTCCAGGAGTGTCATACAGAGTGTCTGCCAGATGCTTGTATGCCAATCCTTGAACCTTCTAGAGAGTCCGAGAATTACATTTCACTGATTGTATTTGCTAATGCCAGTTTGGGGATTCCGTCCATTTAGATGAGAAGTCTAGAAGGGCCCTTCAGGATGGGAGACCAAGTTGTCCCAGCTAGGCAGTCCCCACCGTCACAGTTTCAGGGTAGACTTTCTCTCCCAGGAGATGAGAGCTGCATCTATTAGGAATGCTACTTCTGCCAAGACTCTCGGGGCAGACCCAGCTGCCAGTGCCAAACAGTCTTTGCGGGATCCGGAGATGAGCCGTCATCTTGAGTCAGTGTGGGGTGTTGTCGGGAGGCAGGGCCAGGTCAGTCAGTAGAAACGAAGCACCCGGTGGGTTGTAGACAGTCAATCCTGGAACGTAGTGTCCGTTGTAAAACACTTAGCTTGAGTGTCTTGAGGCACAAAAGCAGTGTCTCCTGAAACACAGGCTGGAGGTTTGCTGCCGGGACCGTGCGTCGTCTCAGAGTTCCAGGCCCCTGGTCACATGGCCATATTTGCAGGGAAAGTCATGCTCTTCCACTCTTGGGGTCACAGATGGCCAGAAACGCCAGACCCAGGCGTGGAGAGTGGCTGCAGGTGTGGAAGGAAATGTAGCTCGGGGCCAGGTGCCCTCTCGCAGGCTGGCACCGTTGCACGTCAGAGGCCTGCCCAGGCCTGGAGCCTGAGCATGGCGGTGGGGTGGGAAGTCGGCGTCACTGACCTTGGCTTCTGCTGTCGTTTCAGACCCGGATGCAGAGTCTTCAGCCAGACCCAGCCGCCCGCTATCGCAACGTGCTGGAGGCCCTCTGGAGGATCATAAGAACCGAAGGCCTGTGGAGGCCCATGCGGGGGCTGAACGTCACGGCCACCGGCGCGGGGCCTGCCCACGCCCTTTACTTTGCCTGCTACGAAAAGTTAAAAAAGACACTGAGTGACGTAATCCACCCCGGGGGCAATAGCCATATTGCCAACGGTATTGAGCCTTCCTGTGGGGTTCCCTCACCCTCCCGGCTCACGGCTTGGCTGCTGTCTGTGCCTCCAGCCTCAGCCTGGTCTGGAGCTGAAGCTTTGGGCTGTGGCGGGCCAGACTGCAGGGGAGGGCCTTCCAAATCCGGCGCTTGCAGACAGGGGGCGTCCCTGTGCTCCCTTACCTGCCAGCCTGGCTCTTCCTCTTGCCCTCTCCCTGGTGTCCGTGGCCAGTGCCCTGGTGATGTGGGAACATGCTGCACGACCCCTGCGGCGTCGCTCCTGACAGTTGGGCGGTGTCCTGCTCCCGAGGGCAGGGCTGGCGGTGACCCGGCTGCCCGTTGTCACTCAGGAAGCCCCTGTTTGCTTCACCTGTGCAGGATCCCAGCTAGCCAGAGGCAGCCTGTGTGGTTGAGATGAGGACAAAGCCTCCACGAGCAAAGGGGGTGGGGCCCGGGAGCGGGATGGAGAGACGGGGGAGGGGGTAGGGGAAGGATGGCAGCCTGGGTGTTCAGGACTGTCTGGCAACCGAGCTGAGAGCGGGAGGGCGGGCCTGGAGGAGGCCAGGCCCCGGGGGCATGTGCCAGGTGGACAGACGACAGGGCCTGGGGATGCCTGGGCGGCCCGGAGGCAAGAGGATGAGGGCAGGTCCTGCGGCGGAGGTCTGGCCCCGGGCCCGGGCTCTCCAAGGGGGTGGTGGTGGTAGCGGTAGCGTGCCGGCTTCCTGCCTGGGTGCGGGCTGCATGTCCTCAAGCATCCTCGGTGATGAGTCTGGGCGGCTTCTGAGATGTGGCGTGTGCATTGGCACCTACTAAGGGGCGGGCGGGAGCGAGTGCCCTCATTCCTTGCGAGGAGCTGGGAGCGGCGGGTCCCCACTTCCCTGACTGGCTCCCGCCACGCCCTCCCCCACCGGGGCCCCTGCGGGCCTCATGTGGCAGGCGCGTTCTTGTTTGCAGGTGCGGCCGGGTGTGTGGCGACGCTGCTTCACGATGCGGCCATGAATCCAGCAGAAGGTAATGATCTGTCGGCCTGTGCCTGTGGGCCGCCGCCGCCCGGCCCTTCCCTGCCCTCGGTCTGCAGGAAGCCAGGGAGCTGGTCGCTTGGGGTGGGAAGGCCTGTGCGTGCCGGCCACCAGAGGGCGCCCCCTCCCTGAGCTGGGTACCCTTGGTCAGGGAGCCTGTGGGCTGCGATTTAGTTGCTCTCAGGGTTTCCCTGGCAAAGGCCTGGCTGTGCGTGGCCCGTTCCTGGGCCTTGGAAGTCCCTCTGCGGTAGATTTGACATGTCCTGAAAGCCTGGCAGGTTATTTCATTTTTCTTCAAGAGGTGAAGATGATTTCAACTTCTTTTTTCCCTGCCCCACGTGGTCTGCAGGGATTGACACTTACCTATGTGGCCTCCCTTACTGGAATGGCGATGGTTGAGGTAGGGGCGAAAGGCTAGGTCGTAGAACTCAGTTGCCGCACTGTGGCTTGGATCTTTGCGTTTTAGTGGAAGGAAAATTCTCCAGAAACATTCCCAGTGTGAGAACAAGGCCCCGGACCAATATGAGGGGGCAGCGTAGTCGCCATACTCTTCTTCTGCCTGGGCGAGGCCACGGTGGAAAGGGCCACGGCGAGGCTGCAGTCCTGCGGAGCTCATGCCGTGGCATCTGCCTGATGGAGTGGCAGAGTTTTGGCAGCAAAGCCACACTGTCCTTGGCGAAGACTCTTGCTTTCTTTCGGGTAGCCCTTCCTCCTCCTCTCTGGACAGATAGCCATCTCGTGTCCAGAAGAGGTGCCCATAGGACCTAAGGCTGGCAGTGTTAGGGCTCTGTGTTCATTGTCATGGCCACGTCACAGTCGTGTCTTGTCGGGAGTTGTAAAAAGGTAAGATGATGACGGGCGGGCTCTTGTTTCAAGGAGACCCCGAGATCCTGAGTGCGGACGGGTGGAAAGCAGCCCTGGCGGATCGGCTTTCTCGACTTCTTACTCTGTGTTGTCTTTTGACTCTTGACCAGCCCTCCGCCTCCTCCCTCCCTTCCGAAGAGGGAAGCGGTCACTCCTCAGGCTAACCGGCAGCTCACACGTGCTTTTTCTCTCTCCATGCCATGGGCTGACCTGCCACTGCCCGGCTCTGCGTGTGGACGCCCTGGTGGCCGTCGGGTGCTGCCACCGCTTCCCTCCTCGCTGACGGCGCCGCCAGTGGTCAAGCAGCGGATGCAGATGTACAACTCGCCGTACAACCGGGTGACGGACTGTGTGCGGGCAGTGTGGCAGAATGAAGGGGCCGGGGCCTTCTACCGCAGCTACACCACGCAGCTGGCCATGAACGTGCCCTTCCAGGCCATCCACTTCATGGCCTACGAGTTCCTGCAGGAGCAGCTGAACCCCCAGAGACGGTACAACCCCAGCTCCCACGTGCTCTCCGGGGCGTGTGCAGGAGCCGTGGCTGCCGCGGCCACGACCCCGCTGGACGTTTGCAAGACCCTGCTGAACACCCAGGAGTCCTTGGCCTTGAACTCAAACGTGACAGGACACATCACAGGCTTGGCTGGTGCCTTCAGGACGGTGTACCGAGTGGGCGGGCTGACCGCCTACTTCCGAGGGGTGCAGGCGCGCGTCATCTACCAGATCCCCTCCACGGCCATAGCGTGGTCTGTGTACGAGTTCTTCAAATACCTGATCACTCAGCGGCAGGAAGAGTGGCGGGCGGGCAAGTGACGTCGCACTGGACCGAGCCC